TAACCAGTTAAACTTAACGTATTTATGGTAGGGATGTTAAAATGAGTTTAGCTGAGTAAATGTATAACTGCTGAAAATTTCAGCAGTTTCATGGTTACATGTGGGTGGCAGAGGTTCGTGCAGGAAGCCAGCTTTTAAGCCGGCTCTCTGCGTGAACCAGGCTCATCAGTTAACCATGTACATGTTTACACTTTCACATACATAATTTACTCTCTCAAAACTTCTTTGATACCTTTTTTACCTAGCTTCAAAGAGATATTTAGAAAATTTGTTAATGCTCTCTTCCCTGCAGTGATCAAAGGCTTATTCTTCTAATGTATTTTGGGATGACACAAACTGTATCTTTGCTGCTGCTGTACAGGTTTTAGATCAGTGGTGTATTTGTCCCGTCTCTTCAGTCAGTATTCCATGGGAAGATTTTGAAATCTTTGTTTTAACAAGTATTTTTGAAGCTGAAGCTGGTCTGTTACCAGCCATGACCTCAACAGGTTGCTCAAGTGAAGGGATTGGGCTTGGTCACCAGTCCTTTGGTGTTACGGGAAAAGGTAGTGATGATTCAGTGGGTGGGCTTTTTTCTCTCTAGTTCTGGATACTGCAAATGTTTACTACCTTGAGAAATCCCTTTGGATAGAAATACAGGCAGTCCCCGAGTTATGCGGATCCGACTTACGTCAGATCCGCAGTTACGAACGGGGCCGTCTCCCTGGTCTCCAGCAGACCAGGGAGAGGAAGCAAAGCGGCGGAGCACGTGGGCAGCGGACAGCCCAGACACGTCCGGGCTGTCCGCGTGCTCCGCGGCTTTGCTCTGCTTTGCTCCCCGTCCCCCTGGTCTGCAGACCAGGGGGCCGGGGAGCAAAGCAGAGCAAAGCCACGGAGCCCGAGGGCAGCAGGATAGCTACGGCGCGTCTGGGCTGTCCCGCTGCCCCCGTGCTCCGCGGCTTTGCTCCAGACGCCTGTGGTACAGCAGCTGGGGCGCTGCCGGTTGGTCCCGTAGTGCCGCTCTGGGTGCCACTGGACCAACCCAGCAGCACCCCAGCTGCTCTGCCCCAGGTGTCCCCAAGTCAGCAGCTGCTGAAAATGAACAGTGGCTGACTACAGGAAGCC